GTAGAAAGCCATTTCTACCCGGAAAAGCTCACAGGAAGCGCTGGCGCCGCCATCTTTTTTTGATGAAAAAGTGCTTCCGGTGAGGTCACCGGAGGCACTTTTTCATCAAAAAAAGATGGCGGCGCCCAGCTGATGCCGGTACTGGGCCGCGGCGTAAAAAAGGTTGGGGATCACTGCTGTATATTATCTTGCCTTTATTATAAACTGCTTTGGACATCTTGTGGCAGGAAGTGAGAATATTCCTTTTTTTAACACACTCCCCGCAAAGGTTTGCAATGTTTCATGAGAGATTGGGCTGTGGCTGATGAATTGGAAAGGTAAAGGAAGCCGTACAGCACCAGGTAATATTCACAAGATATCCCCATCTATAGTTCCCCATGTATAATTCCCATAATCCTCAGCCAAGATGGGAAATGGTCATGCAAGTAAGGCATCTGGAAGACCCGAGGCCTCTGAGAAGTTGCATTTTCAAATTAAATCCCAAATCAAAGGCACATCACAAAGATTTTAGTGCCTGTCTTTGTTATGAAATGTATGTACAAAATACTTATTTTCCAGCCAACAGCCCATCTTTCAAACGTTTTGGGAGCCTGTATTCAGAAAAGATCCATCAAGCCTAGGGATTCATTTTTCAGAAAATTCGGGATATTTCCTTATTTGCTCTAAGATGGGACAGGATCTTTGCTCCATATTTAGAGAATCTGTTTTCAACTGGCAAATTTGGCACGTTCACCACCACCACCACCAAATCACCAAAAAAAAATACTGTCACCAACAGGCTTCAGAAGAGTGTTTTTCTCATCCCCTCACCTCTTCCAGGTGTGAATTCAAATCGGATGTCATTCAGCTCCTTTTTTGAATTCCTGTCAGGGTGGAGAGACACGGTTATATGTTATCAACAGCTGTGTTATATTAAATCACATTCTGCAAGGAATATAAAACCAGAATAAACCATGTTTATTCCTCAGGCAGGCCTATTGAATCAGCATCTGAGGAACAATCTACAATTAATTTTATCCAACCCAAACTCTCCTATACTATACCACATTACAGGTAGTCCTCGAATTAGTCACCGAAAGTGGGGCAAAATTCACTTAACAACTCATTTAGCAACATAAATTTTGTGTTGAATTGTGGTTGTTAAGTCAAGGACTACCTGCACTTTCAGGTCTAGGATGAATGATGGCAAAGGGAGGGATAATTATTCCCTCTAGCAAGGAATTCAGAGGCACATGGAACAAAACATTTTGTTTTATCCTGAGTTGATCATGAAACCACACAATGCAAGGAACCTTATTTTGAGCTCAGAATCCACACAGCAGACATTTTGAGCGCTAGACATTTTATCCAGAATCAGAGTGCTGTAAATCTATATCACATGAATAGAATAAAATAGAACTTATTAGCCCTAATCATCTGACTGCAAAATGGTCATTGGTCCAGCACAGACTGGTAGACAGCTGTTTTTTGTTTTTTGTTTTTTAATTTCCCGGTTTTGTAAAAGAGAGGGACTTGGTCCTGGATCACCCAGTGAGCTTGTATGGCTCAGGGAGGATAACAACCGTAGCTCCCTGTAGTTGTGAAAGCTGGACCTTAAAAAATAAAGACAGGAAGAAAATCGACTCATTTGAGCTGCGGTGCTGGAGAAAGCTCCTGCGTATTCCTTGGAAAGCAAAGGTCCTGGAGCACGTAACACCAGGCGTGTCACTGGAAGGCAAAAATCACAAAACTGCGTCTCAACTGCTTTGGCCACATCGTGCAGGGGAGTTCCCCGGAGAAAGCAATTATGTTTGGAAGAGTTAATGATCAAAGGAAAACGGGTCCCTCGAGGACAGGTGGCTGGACACCATCAAAGCTGACACCATCCAGAGCCCAAAGAAGCAGTGAAAGATCGAAAGATGTGGAGAGACCTGGGCCATTGAATCGCCAAGAGTCAGACACAACTGAATGGATAACAGCAACATCAGAACCTGGATCTTCTGATTCCTAGTCCAGCATCCCTGCCCCTAGACCAGTTTAGCCTTCCCTCATACCTAGCCTGCTTACCTTAATCGTAGAACGAGACTTATGGGGATTTTGGGCTCTTCTTGTGCTGTAGGTGCAGGAGGTGCCTTATCAAAAGAGAAAAAGAGGTGTGTGTTCTTTTAAATCCACGAAAGCAAAGAGTCACACAGGTAGACCTCAGCTTATGATTAAAACTGAACCCAAAATTTCCATTGCTAAGCAAGACAATTAAGTGATGTGTGCCCACCCCAATTTTATGACCTTTCTGCCCTGGTTGTTAAGTGAATATTGCAGTTGTTAAATGAAACATGTGAACCTTCAACGAATCTGGCTTTCTCATTGACTTTGCTTGTCGTAAGCCGGCTGGGAAGGTTGCGAATGGTGATCACAGTATAACTGTCATAAGTACATGCTAGTTTCCAAACGCCTAATTTTGATCATGTGACCCTGAGGCTGCTCCAACGATAGTAAATGTGAAAAGTCATTGTTTCAGTGCTTTTGTAACTTTGAACAGTCACTAAACAAACAGTCAAGGATTATCTGTAATGATATATTTACCTTCACAAAAAAACTAAAAGAGACCAAGTTGGTCATTTCAAAGGCAGGCTGAGAAATAAATAAACAGAGGTGGTCCTCAATTGGACCCAAATGAAACCTTCCTGGGTTTTTTTTTTAATAATTTTTTTATTAAAATGTTGAAAATAAGCAAGGAAGGATTTTGATTTAATGTGAATGTGGGTATTAAGAGATATGATTGGTACTATTAAGCTTGCCTATATTAAAATGTATGATATATTGATCAATACAGTTAACGCATTGTTGTGTATGTGTAGATGGAAAACTTCCTGGGTTTTAATGTTTTTGCCTGTTTAATATATTTTGCCCAGCATCTGATCAATCCATAAAATTTGGAAGAATATTCAGAAAGGGGTTTTCTTGTTGTGTTATTCTCAACTGCCTGGATTTTGACCCTATGCCCTATCGGCATGCAGCATTTATTTATTCTGCCCTGGGCTGCAGTGTGTGATTTGACACATTCTAACCTTTGGCACAGAAAGAACCTTGATATGTTGTTTTTTTTAAAATTAATTTTGGTTTTTAACAAATCCTTCAGAAGGCCCATTGAAAATGAGCAAAAAGTGGCACAGCTGCACATAATCCATTAGTGCGGAACAAAATAATAGCCAAGCTAGGTCAAGAAAGCCAAGCTGGGAACAATGGGAATTAGGATCCTAGTATCAACTGAACCTGCTGGATGAGACGCAGTGGTGGGATGCTAAAAAGGAGGTGAGGAGGAGGGGAGTGAAGAGTAACAATTGTATACCATGTAATCAGAACTTTCCAGTCTTTATCAAAAATAATGATTTTTTTCCTACTGATATTGTTATTGGGAAGGTTGGTTTCATATATTGCAAGTTTTGAAATTTGTGCGGACAAATTTCAGGTAGTCCTCAACCTATAACTTTTTCATTTACTGATTGTTTAAAGTTACAACAACACTGGAAAAACATGACGCATGACCACTTTTCATACTTATGACAGTTGCAGCATCCCCCAGGGTCACGCGGTCAAAATTCAGGTTCTTAGCAACTGATTCACATTTATGATGGTTTCATAAATGTCCTGGGGTCATGTGGTCACCTTTTGTGAACTTCTGACAAGCAAAATCAATGGGGTAAATTCACTTAAAAACTGCCTTGCTTAGACAAATTTATTATACTGATACAAGTAGTTCCTTGATTAACGGCCACTCATTTAGCAACTGTTTGAAGTTATGAAGGCACTGAAAAAAGGGACTTAGGGCTAATCCTTGCACTTAGGATTGTTGCAGCATCCCCTTGGTCATGTGATGATTTGGCAACTCTTTCATATTTATAACTGTTTGCAACAGTTCATGGTCACAATTGCCATTTGTGATCTTCCAAGACAACATCTAACAAGCAAAGTCAATGGGGAAGCCGGCTGGAAGTTGTAAGTCCTGATCACATGATATTTCGATTAATGATGGTAAATGATTAGTTGAATGACCACAATCGGGAGCATCGTAGCTAAGCGGGGTTGACCATGTGGTATTTTGCTTGACCGCTCCACTTAGCAATGGAATTGCTGGTCCCAATTAGGGTTGTTAAGCAAGGATTATTTGTAATATTACTACAACTATTATTATTACTATTACTACCAAATTTGTTCAATCAAAACCTGTAGGAATGGCCATCTTTTGCAGCTGTTCAGGGTGGCAGAAACATACCACATCTTCTTTTGCTGGAAATAAATGCCAGTGACTGGCAAAAAAAGTCACAAAAAATGGTCACGTGATGCTCTAAACAGCCACAAAGGTGAGCCCAAAATGTGATAACGTGACTATGGGGTGCGTGGCCATTAAAACTTCAAAAATGGGTCATATTCTGATTTTGAGAAGAAGTCCGTCATAACTTTGAACAGTCGTTAAGCGACTGATTTTAAGTCAGGGACTACCTGAAATGTTTTCTAAATAAATGGAAGCTTGGAATTATTTAGAAGAAATCCCTTCAGCAGATTTGAAACCAGTTTTCCCTTTCATTTGGGAAGCCATTAAGTCTTTAAGGCACCATGGCTCAGTGGTTAAAGATGGTGAGTTGTCAGCTGGAAAGCTGATAGCCTGGGTTCAAGACCTGGCTGTCACATGATGGGCTGAGCTCCCATTACTTGTCCCAGCTTCTGCCCATCTAGCAGTTTGAAAGCATGCAAATGCGAGTAGATAAATAGGTACCACTTCGATGGGAAGATTAACAGCATTCAGTGTGCCTCGGCATAGAGCCACGCTGGCCACATGACCATGGAAGCGCCTTCAGACCATGCCGGCTCCCTCAGCTAACAAATGGAGATGAGCACTGCCCCCTAGAATTGGATATGACTGGACAGGGAAAAACTTTATCCTTTGTCTTTTAAGCCTCCCCATTGGGCCTTACCTGTGCTGCTGAAGGAACTGCTGCTGCTGCTGGGGTCTGAGAAGCTGGACCGGAGGCAGAAACAGGAGGTTGTGCAGGAACTTGACCTGCAGGCTGAGGTAGTTGAGCAGCAGGCTGGTCTTGGAGGTTGAGCAAAGGGCCGGTTGGCTCAGAGGATGGAAACAGCTGTAACAAAAGGAATGCATGAACAAACAAACAAACAAGCAAACAAGCAAAATACAACAGCACAGTACAGGTAGTCCTCAGCTTATGACCACAATTGAGCCCCAAATTTCTGTCGTAAGCAAAACTTTTGTTAAGTGAGTTTTGCCCCATTTTACGACTTTTCTTGCTACAGTTACGAAGCGAATCACTGCGCTGCAGTTAAGTTAGTCACATAGTCATTAAGTGAATCCGTCTTCCCCATCAACTTTGTCAGAAGGTTACAAAATGGGATCACATGACCCCGGGACACAGCAACCCACCATAAACATGAATTTTGACCACATGACCATGGAGATGCTGCAGGGGTTGGTAGTGTGAAAACCAGTTACAATCACTTTTTTTTTTCAGTGCTGTTGTAACTTTGAATGGGCACTGAAAGAGCTGTTGTAAATCGAGGACTAGCTGTATGGGATACAAATGATGGATCTTCACCAGCTATCTGAAAAAAAATATCAACGAATCTGAAGTCCGAATAGCATTTGCACAACCAGCAAAAGTGTGGGCATTATCACCGAACCACAGAATCCAAAGAGATCACATTTGCAACCCTCTGCAATGTCCCAGAAAATCAGTGAAGCATCCTTAAGAGGTGGCTACGCATCGAAGAGCCCAGCTCTTTTGAAAAACCCATCCTACTGCGGAGGACAGGAAGAAAGAGGAAGGAAAAAAACAGGATAAACAACAGTAAGGTAAAGGTTCCCCTCGCACATACATGCTAGTCATTTCTGGCTCTAGGGGGCGGTGCTCACCTCCATCACAAAGCTGAAGAGTCAGCGCTGTCCAAAGACATCTCCGTGGTCATATGGCCGGCATGACTAAACGCAGAGGGCGCACGGAACGCTGTTCCCTTCCCCCCAAAGTGGTCCCTATTTTTCTACTTGCATTTTTACATGCTTAAAGCAGCCATGGTGCATTTCTGGGATATCTGAAACACCAAACTGGGAATAGAACATCTTGAATAACATCTACCTATGTGGCCACTAAGAGTCAACCCTGATTTGCTGGCACATGATCTACCAATGAATGCAAAGCTGCCTCTCTCTAGAGATGTCTATAATGCTGGGAAAGGAGGGAGGGAAAAAAGGAAGGAAGGAAGGAAGGAAGGAAGGAAGGAAGGAAAACAACAACAAGGCAGGTAGATTCATCAGCAATAGGGTCACCCTGGAAAGAAAGATCTGAAGAACCAAGTTAGAGACAGATCATTCTGGAAAAGTTCTTATGTGGTTGCTTACACTTTGATACCAACTTAATGGCACACAATCGATCAATTTTGAAAAAATTCAGCTCCAAGTTATTCTGTTACACAAACAGATGCAGGGGTTCCCAAACTTGGCAACTTTACAACACGTGGATTTTAATTCTCACAATCTCCCAGCCGGCCAGGAAATCCATGCATCTTCAAGTTGCCAAGATGGGGAACCTCTGATTTAGTGCAGATTTCTAGTATTATGTAATATTATGATTCACAATTTACCTCAGAGTTCTGTAAGGATTCTTTCACTCTGGGAGACTAAAAGAGAGAAAAAGAGACTTGTGATTAGCATACAATCCAGTTTTTATGACAAGCTTAACATATTTTGAAGGAGACAGAAACAACCTAAGCTATTCACCTGCCTCGGAAATCGGTGAATGTCAAAGTGTCACTGAATTGCATGGGGGTTAATATACTTTATTCTGGAAAATCGTGTTACCTGAAGATAGATGAGGTTGCTAATAACTCTGACATACAGATTATTATTATTTTTTTTACTGAAAGCTGGAAAGGTGTAGGCAATATGGTAATAATTTTAAATTTAGTAGCTGAAGCAGTGGGATTGTACAATGAGCCTGCTTGTTTTTTATGTTCAATTGACATAAACAATGGACCTCCATGGCATTAATGTGATCACCATCTTGCCTTTTTTGGAAGTCATCCGGTGGATGCCAACAAATGGAATCTACTTGGGTGTAATACAGTATCTCAATCACTTTTACTAAATTTTAATTTCATATGGTGGTCCTGAGCAGAGCACGATCACCAGACACCCTTACAAAGGAATATCTTCCTGCGAGCAAAAGCATTTTAAATCCATTATTTCTTCCTGAGGCAAGAAGAGATTTCAAGTGTTGAGTTCTGACAGCTTTAGATACAGGAAATAAAGGGGGAGCTGGGCTTAAAGAGATAAACTGGCTTACTGATTGCTTTCAATAATTAATAATTTTAATAATTAATTATGAGTTTGCAAGTTAAGCGTGCCATGTCTATGAATACTAAACAGAAATCAGTCTTCTTTTTTTAAAAAAGAGGCAGCTGCCTTTAGAAGATTTCAGGGTCAGAAGCGCCTCTGCTGAGGAAAAAGAAATCCCAAAACATATTTCATGAGAAAAAAAATCTGTGTATGGAATATGCACAACATCCTGATAACTAACCCACAGCAAAGTTTGGACACTGCAATTCTCTGCAACCCGATTTCTCAAAATAACTTTCATTTTGGTCCTAGATTGCATCAAATAGGAAAGGTTAGCACAAAAAATATTCAGAGCAGTAAAAATGTTTTCATGCATCTCCATAATGGAGGATGGCCAGTATTTTGTACTGGCAAAAGTATTAGACCCAAATACATGTTTATTTAGCCTACTATGACATCTACAGAGGTTATGCAATCACTGATATACAACACTAATAAAGCACATTATGCATACAAGCACAAATATAAACATAAGTGAGAAAGAAATAGTAAAGCAATATTAAATATAATATTAAAATATTACAGCAATTAGACTCAATCATTGAAAAGAACAGATAACTCAGAGGATGAGTCTGTAAAATGTGTAATTAGCATAACTTCTGCCTCCAGTTTCTAACTGTTCCTATTGCCAGAAATGTAGACCAGCAAGAGACTAATACAAAGCATCAATAAAGGAAAATATTTGTAGTTCAGGGTTGAAATGACGGGTGGTCTCTGAGCTTGCAGACGTTTCATGACCCAACTAGGTAATATCATCAGTGCTACAAGGGAATAGATTTTGTGGAGAGGGGGAGGGGGAGGAGGAGAACGATGGAGTCATGGGAGCTCTCTAAGCTTGGCTGTTTTCCTGCAGACATTTCATTACCCAACTAGGATAGTATCAGTGCTAGGAAGGAGTGGGAGGAGAAAAAGGAGGGGGAGAAAGAGGGCGAGGAGAACAACAGCAAGAACTATGGAGTCTTTGATGCTCTCTGAACCTGGTTTTCTTGCACAGGCTTCATGACCCAATTAGATAACATCATCAGGGCTAGTCAGGAATGGGGTTTGCACTTTTAATACTGATGATGTTATCTAGTTGGGTAATGAAACGTCTGCAAGAAAACAGCCAAGCTCAGAGAGCACCAAGGACCTCTCATACGAGGCATGAATTTAGTGAGGATCTGTACTTTTAATCTGTACTTTTAATAATAAAAGTGAAATTGACTCCCACCCTGTGCTGTGAAATCGCCGCTTTGCCCTCTTCGCTTTCTTCATCTAGTTCATCATCGCTCCATTCCCAGCCGCCATCTTCAGTCTTATGAAGTCGTCCGCTGGAACCCGGGACTCTCCTGACCTGCACTCCAACAACAGCAAGACTAGATGTGTAACAAGGCAGTTCTGCTCAGGGTTCTACAGGTGGTAGCCCTTGGGAACAACTGTTGGTAAGCACTGTGGTCGTTAACTGAGACACACCTGATTTTATGATCTTTTTTTTTTGCCATGGTTGTTAAGCAAATCACATGGTCATTAAGTGACTCCAGCTTCTTCCATTGACTTTGCTTATTGGAAGCTCCATGGAAAGATCGTAAATGATGATCGCATGACCCTGAGATGTCATAATAATTGTAAATACAGGTAGTCCTCAACTTAAAACAGTTCGTTAAGTGGCCGTTCAAAATTACAACAGCACTGAAAAGTTCCGGCACTGACTTATGACCATTTTTCACACTTAGGACCACTGTAGCATCCCCATGATCATGTTGTCAAAACTGGCAATTGGTTCATATTTAGGACCATTGCTGTGCCCCAAGGTCATGGGATCCGCTTTTGCGACCTTCTGACAAGCAAAGTCAATGGGGAAGCCAGATTCACTTAACAACCAGGTTACTAACTTCACAACTGCAGTGATTCACTTAACAACTGCGGCAAGAAAGGTTGTGAAATGGGGCAGAACTCACTTAATAAATGTCCCACTTAGCAACATTAATTTTGGGCTCAAACTGTGTTCGTAAATTGAGGACTACCTTTACATGCTTGTTGCCAAACGCCCAAATTTTGTTCATGTGACTGTGGAGACATTGTAACAATTGCAAGGACGAGGTTTGTAACTTCAAACAGTCAAGGACTACCTGTACAGCCTAATTGCATCTTCTGTAAGACTTTGATAAACCTAAAAGATGCAATTGTTACAATTTTTGCTATCTTGTACAGAAACAAAAATAGAAATGCTGCACCTGACATAACTATCCATCCAGAAATCAATATGACTATAAAAGGATTGATATATCCCCTTATATATATATATATATATATATATAAGGAGATATATATATATATCCTTTCCATCCAAGCAAGCGGAAAGAGGAGGAAACAAAATGACATTGAAAAAGCCATCAATAGTCACAGCCTAAGTTTAAAACTAATTTATATACGGTTGGAATATTTTAGTCTTTGCAATAAAAGATGTACTTATATATCCACAGGCAGCCTGTCATCCGATCTGCCAGCAAATTAAGCCACGCAACAAAACAAACAAAGGAACACTGAGTTATTATTTATGAAACTGTTTCATTATTTGCCATTCCGCAGGGGTCTTCGATCTTCGGGCTGTGGCCCACTAAGGGCCTTGGGCCGTTCTGTACTGAGAAAGTGGTGGGTGAGTCTTGCGCAGGAACCTCCCCACTTGCACGAGCAGTAGGTGAGGGTGTATGCATGCTCCATTTTGTGTGAGCAATGCGCATGCAGGCCCACCACTTGTGCAAATGGGACCACGTGTGCATCCTTATCTGCCACTCACACGGGACCATCCCTTCTCCTCCTTCCCTTTGAAAGAATACTGAATGTTTGCAGTTTACCTAACAAGTTAAAAACAGAAACCAATGTTTTGGTTTTTAGCTCAATTGTCTGGTTTGTTACCAGAAAGACAAACCTGCCATGTCAGTTTAGATATAACTATATACCTACCAAGGATGCTGGCTAGCTACTTTTAAAGCAGGAGGAACTAAGTTTCTTTAAGATGTGTGAACTCAGCCAGAATTATTTTTCCTGTTTCTCAGGCTGCAGGCAAGCTACACATTAAGAGAAGATGCGAGAAATCTTACAGAACCATTTTTATGCAGATTTCCACTTTAATTTGTACCTTCCTGGCTCTTTCAGTGATAGTTGGGGCTCTCTGCAACATTTTTTCTTGTAAAAATTCTTTATTCTGCAAAAGGAACGAAACCATCAGTTCTTGCAATCTGCTCTTCAAAAGCTACAGTTTATTGTTATTCAGTGAACTGGTCAGCCACCCAACTCCACTGCACTCAAACTGCATATTCCTCTAAAGCTTTTTGTGAAGGAGGGAAAGAGAGAAAGAGAGAGAGAGAGAGGGAAAAAAGTGTTAGTTATATGACATTGAATAAAATTGCCTCTGATATAAGAGCTAAGAAAGCAATGTATTAAAGAGTAACAATCTCCAGTTGAGTTGTAACATGCTCTGTCACTGGACAGATGCTAAGATATTTTTTTTATTTTCTTTTTCCACTAGGTACCATAGTAAAAACTAAAGCTGAGCAAAACTGAACCATAAGGCAGTTGTATCCGGAGTGATTAAGCAGTCAATCTGGCTAAAAAAGAACCAGGGTGAACAACAGAGAATCAAGCCACACAAACAGTTTCACACTTAAAGGATTACCATTTCTGTGGGTGACAAAATCAGAATAGATCTTAAATGAGAAGCAAATGTGTCGTTGGGTGAATGGAAGTTGGGGAAAATCTCTGATAAATCATTAAATGTATAAGTCGCCCATCTCACTATTAAGTGACTGTGGATAACTTACAGAAATGTAAAAAAAACTGCTAAGATTATTCCTTGTCTATAAATACATTTCTCCAACATCCAAGTTGGCAGATGACTGCAACAATCAAGGATCCTACCTTTGTGTTGAATTTATGTTTTACCAACAAAGAAATAAAGGGAGACTAGTATAGATCTATTTCAAGCTATTTAGCTCTCATCAGCTGGCCATACCCTTCTGGGATTCGAAAGCAGAGCAGTATGCTCCGTCCCATAATTGGGTAGACCAGGTTGTCCTGATAAAAAATACTTGATCCTACCTTTGCTTTCTGGAAAAATTTGTGTCTTAGAAGTTCAGCTGCTGTAGGTCTATGGACAGAAAAAAAGGAGTTTCTTAAGACTATGGTATATTGCAGGAATTTTTAAAAAGCCTTTCTAATTCATATAGGAGAATCACCCACAATAAGAACTCAGATCAGAACAGATGTTGCTTTTCACAGGTTGTACATTTCAATTCACATATTAGAAAAAAAGAAACAAATAAAATATTAATTTTGGATAAAAAAAAATGGTAGTTTTTGGCAAAGTGAGACCATAAACAAACTGTGTGATCACTCAACAATAGGAAGATAAACATTTCCTGCCTAATATTCACATTCTTATTTTACGTGCTTGCACAGAATTTTACCTAAAGCAAGATATGATGGGTTTTGCTATTAGAACAATGCTTTAGTTTATTTTATTCTGGTTAATCACATGGCCCAGACTGATTTCATAAAAGATACCTTACTTTACTTCTTAACATCAGTTTTCAGAAAATCTGAACCAGAGACGAACGAACATTAAAAACTAACATTTGCTAAAACATCAACAAGGCAGTAATCAGTGGACATGATGCAATATCCTGTGGCAAGAAGTTCCAAAGGCCAATCATACTGTTTGTTTTTCTTAGTGCTTTCCCTCTCAATAATCCTCTGAGTTCTTTGCTTGTGGCATCTACTTCCCCTTTTTGAATTTCCTCAACTTACAACCACAATTGAGCCCCTAGTTTCTGTTGCTGAGTGAGAAATTTGTTAACTGAGTTTTGCCCCATTTTATGATCTTTCCTTTCCTTTGTTAAATGAATCACTGCAATGGTTAAGTTAATAACACTGTTGCTAAGTAAATCTGGCTTCCCTATTGACTTTTGCTTGTCAGAAGTTTTCAAAAGATAATCACAGGTAGTACAACCGTCATAAATACGAGTCAGTTGCCAAGCGTCACATGACCATGGGGATGGTGCAATGGTCGTAAAGTGTGAAAGATGGTCACCGGTCACATTTTTCAGTGCCATTGTAACTTTGAACAGTCACTAAATGAACTGTTATAAGTTGAGGACTACCTGTATCCAGATGATTGTACTTAAATGTGCTTTGTAGTAGAGATGATGATTTGGAGATTAGTTATTAGCAAAACATGATCTTACTCCAGAAAAACAGGAAGGAGAAAGAAAAGAAATCTCAAAACCTCTCCTTCCTGAATTTTTTTGGGGATAAGAGGGGGGAACAGGGAAATGCTATCAGGTTTCAATATTTCGATCTTGGATATTTTGAACTTGGATATTTTCTTGCAGACGTTTCATTACCCAACCACATAACATCATCAGTGCTAGTTTGCGGTTCAGCCTTTGTTTAGCTCTGAGCTATAAATATTCTCTTCTATTATAGCCTAATCTGTTTCTCGATCTTGGCCATTTGAAAGCTGTGTGAACTTCAAATATACAAATTGGTATTGGCTGGAGAATTCTGCGAGGTGAAGTTCACACAGCTTCACGTGGGCCAAGGGTGAAAAAAACACTGGCTTGGATTGTTAACACAGAATTCCAGTATTATCTTTGAAGCCTTTGCTTCCTGACCTAGCTTACTCTGAAAGACTAATTCAATGCTACAGTTATTTGAAAAGAAAATCTCCCTGAACTTCTTACCCACAATCACTGGATCACGGAAGTGGACGGAACAAAAAGCGCTTGAACGGGTTACAAAAATGCCCACAGAAAATCCTATTCCACAAAGCCAGAGAAATTCTGCAGTAGCTTTTAAATGTGGCGTGAATCATAAGATGACGTTAACCTCTCAATACAGCACAGCCTAATGAATAACAGAGTGGGAAGGGACCTTGGAGGTCTTCTAGTCCAACTCCCTGCTCAAGCAGGAAACTCCATCCCATTTCAGACAAATGGTTGTCCAATCTCTTCTAAAACCTCTAGTGATGAAGCACCCACGACTTACAGTGGCAAGTCGTTCCACTGGTTAATTGTTCTCACTATCGGGAAATTTCTCCTTAGTTCTAGGTTAGTTCTCTCCTGGATTATTTCCATCTGTTGTTTCTTATCTTGCCTTCTGGTGCTTTGGAGAATAAGTTGACCCCCCTCTTCCTTGTGGCAGCTCCTCAAATATTGGAAGATTGCTATCATGTCATCCCGAATCTTTCTTTTCATTAAACTAGACATATCCAATTCCTGCAACCATTCTTCGTATGTTTTAGCCTCCAGTCCCCTAATCATCTTTGGCCTTCTTCTCTGCACTCTTTCCAGAGTCTCAACATCTTTTTTATGTCATGGCAATTAAAACTGGATAAGCTATCAAACATCCAGCTCTATCTTCATTTTGCCTCCTATTCCCCTATTGTAGCTACCTAGCAGGGTGGCAGTGACATGGATGTTAAGCAAATCTGGTTTCTCCGCTGACTTTGTCAGGTCACAAAATGTGATCCCGTGACCAAAAGATGCTGCAAGTGCCATAACCATGATCAGTTATCAAGTATATGATGTTAAATCACGTGATCATGGGGATGCTGCAATAGTCATAGGTGTGAAAAATCATCATAAAACACATTTTTCAGTGGTATTTTAACTTTGAATGGTCACTGAATGAACTATTTTAAGTCGAGGCTACCGGTGTTAGATTTTAAACTTGTGCGTGTATGTTCACGTGTGGCAACATGTGTGCATCTATATGTGTCCATTGGCAGAAAAGGGAGGTGTAAGTCATATAAATAATTTATTTAAAAGAGGGAGGGGGATAGAAGGAGGAAGTTCAGATGGTCCGGCATTATTACCTTTTCTCTGGGTCTTTCTGCAGGCACAATGAAATCATTTTCCTAAATGACTTCCCATATTTTTTAAGCATCTCCTTGTCTTGAACCCCAGTTTCCAAGGAGGGGGGGTCATTTTGTAGTGTCAACATTAAGACCTTGAAAAAAAAATGGCTTCCATTAGAAACATTGAGGAACATTTTGAATTGGCAAACGAAAAGAAATCATGATGAAAAACATGAATGTGCTTGAAAACTACTTGAGATCTAGCTGCTCTTTGGCCCAAAGAGCATCTGATGGATAACTATCAGTTCTTTACCAGCAACAGCAAGAACTGTGAAGAGAATACATCTCACCTGCCCTGTTTCTACCATCATTAGGGAAGGGCTCTAAGAGGCAAAACAGCTTCCATGCACCCCAAGGATTGTGGTGTTCCTATTTTAGAAAGTCTACAATGGAGGACAAAATTCCACACAAGCACTCTTCGAATTGCGAATGCAACTTAGCCCGAAATTTCCATAGCTAAGCAAGGCAAGTTGTTAAATGAGTCTTGCCCATTTTACATCCTTTTTTTGCCATAGTCGTTGTGAGAATCACTGCGGTTGTTCAGTGGTTGTTAAATGAATCTGGCTTTGCCATTGATTGCTTGTCAGAAAATGGCTGGGAAGGTTACAAATGGTGCTCACATAACACTGGTACATTGCAATGGTCCTCAATGCATGCCAGCTGCCAAGTGACTGAATCTTAATCGTGTGATCGTTGTTGCAACAGTTATGTGAAAATTGGTCATAAGTCACTTTATTCTGTGCCACTGTAACCATCAGTAAACAAATGGTGGTATGTCAAGGACTACCGGTTCAGTGGTGCTATGATTGTTGGCTCTGGAATTCAGTGAGAAGATGGATGAAAGAGGCCTTAGCTTCTCTCTGTTCTGAGACCCTAAAGAAGTAGTTTAAGAGAAGTAGGGGATCATACGTTCCACTCCTGCCTTAGCCCATTGGAGGACCAGAGGGAAGTCCCTGGATTAGAAGTTAGGAGCGTGTGAGTTCTAGTCCTCCATGAACAGGAGACCAGCTGGGCGACTTTGGGCCGGCCTCTCTCTGTCGGTTATAGTAGAAGGAGGCAAAGGGTAACAACCCATTTCTGGTGACAATGCCAAGGAAATTTTTTTTTCAATCCTGTCTTTGTTATTTTTTTGTGTTTGGAGGTGTCCGAAACCAGGGTTCAGGAGAGGGAAAGATTTTAAAAGTTTTAAAATGACAAAATCAAGAAGGATAGGGAAAGTCAAAGGTATGCAGCACGTCAACAGGCAAAGCACTCCAAAATGCTCAGAAGCACCTTTTTTTTTTTTTTTTAAGAGCAGCTGTCTTTTCCAGCTTTGCAGAACTGTGGTGGAGGTAGCAGGGGGTGGGGTAGGGAGAGGGGATGGTTCCACACAAATGCAGTTCCATTTGCACAAGCAGCAGGTACATATGCACACCACTCACACACGTGGATTTGCACGCACACGCTCGCTCACCTGCTGCTTGCGTAGCCCAGTCCTAAACAGGGTTGGGTAGCCTTGTTTTAAAGGGAAAACTTTTCAACATTATATCGAGGACTCTTAGCTATTTCTACAGAAATCTTGGAATGGCGGTGCTCGTTCTGCATTCTAACCCCATGGTTTTGTCTTCTGTTATATGCTCAAGCGTCCAACCAGTTCTCAAGCTTCCTTGCATATTTTCAGAAGGAGGACATGCCAACTTTTCAGACACACCGTTTTCTAAGAGGGTCAATCCAATTTTTCAGACTGTGTGCATGCTCTTCCTGTCAAACTGATTCTTTAAACTGGTAAATCTGTAACTTACCTTCATGGGTGGGTATTTGTGATAAGGAGCAGCTCCGGTGGCCAATTCAATGGCTGTAATTCCAAAACTCCAAATATCTGCTTTGAAGTCATACCCTCGAACCTGCATTGTTAAGAAAAGTTCATTTCAAAACTGGCTTTTCTATTACAGTAACTCCATGCGTATCTCGCCTGAATCATACTGGGTGCTAACCTTCCTTCACCAATCCCTTCTTGGCATTCATTTGTGATTTGGCACCTAAAATAGACTTCTAATTTCTCATCCAACTCCTGAAAAAATAGCATAACTTGTATTCTTCTTCACAAGAGTGAAAATATCACAAAGACTTTATCCAAATGAGAGGAATAAACTAACCCTTGGATGTATTGGGAAATCATTTATTTTGCAAATATCACTGAATTCTGCTGTCTTGTTAACTCAGAATTGCTCTTGAAATTGAAGCAATTCTTCCAAAGCAAAGAGATGTTAGTTTCCCAGAATTCAAATCCTCAATGTTACAACGGGGACCAGAATTTCAGTCATTAAATGAAACAGTTTCAAAATGAGATGTCACATGACCACAAAGGTCAATATTATTTCCATTCTGAACACAGAGGAACCAAGAACCAAAGACTTATCTTTATTATAAAGGTAATTATAAACTAACTTCATTAAAAAGTCACACCGCCATACTTCCTGAACAAATTCCAGGGCTGATTCCCACAGAAATAGTTAAGATACATAGTGAATGAGTGACAGTAGTAGTTAAGTTCATAATGATGGTTGGAAAATTCACACAGCTTTTCAACCCCCCGCTTAGTGCATGCATTATATTCTAAATCCAACTTCGTTGCAAGGTACCATGAATGATTGTTTGAAATATGCTTCTCTCCTGGCCCAGCCTGATTCATTACAGCCCATGATTGGTTCTCCAAAGCTGTCTAACTTTCTGGAGTGACTGGACATTTAGCACCTCTGTTACCTCAGCCAATGAGAATTATGGTCCAATACATGTAGTTCTCAACTTACGACCACAACTGAGCCCCGCATTTCTGTTGCTAAGCGAGATATTTATTAAGTAACTTTTGCCCCATGTTACAAACTTTTTTTGCCACAATTGTTAAGTGAATCCCTGCAGTTGTTAAATTAGTCGCATGAACGTTAAGTGAATCTGGTTTCCCCATTGACTTTGCTTGTCAGAAGATCACAAAAGGGGATCGCATGATCCCGGGGACACTGGAACCATCATAAACACGAGTCAGTTGCCAAGCATCTGAATTTGGATCACATGACCATGGGGATTCTGTAATGCTCATAAGGGTAAAAAAATGGTCAGTGCCATTTTTCAGTGCTGTTCTAACTTTGAACGGCCACTAAATGAACCGTTGTTAAATCAACGAGTATCTGTACATACAGAAAGTTATCCAACTGAGAAAGCTGGACCACAAACTTTCTACAGGTAGTCCTCAACTTAAGACCATGATGGTGGTGAAATGGGACAACTGCACAACCTGTTTTGTAGTAGCCACTAAGCAAATCACCATGGTTGTTTGGTGAATCTGAGATTGTTCCAAAGGTGATTTTTCAAGAGGCAACTGGACTTTCTGAAAGTCCAGTTGCCTCTTGAAAAATCACCTTTGGAACAACCATATCCTAAATGACTGAGAATCTCCATAGACATGAATCTGTGATTGTTAAGCAAACTTATATTTATTTATTTTTGCTTGCTATGGGTTTTTTTCGCTGAAAATTGGAAATGGCAATTTTTGAAGAAAAAAATATATGCCATAAATCATGGTCAGGTCACAGTTGCAGAATGCTGCAAACAACATAAATGTGGGCTGGTTGCTGAGCACCGGAAATGCAGTCACAAAACTGTGTGTGTGTGTGTGTGTGTGTGTGTGTGTGTGTGTGTGTGTGTGTGTCTGTGTCTGTGTGTCTGTGTGTCTGTGTGTGTCTGTGTGTGATGGCCATCTGAATTGGGTCATAAGTATCTTTTGGGGGGGGGAGGTCCATCATAACTTTGAATGGTCACTAAGCAGCCCGTCATAAGTTGAGGACTACCTGAATTGCCATGATGGTCTAGGGCTCCATTCTCCTCCTGGAAGAAATGAGAGAAGACACTCATTTTTGAAATCAGAATCCATTCAAGGTTTCTCTCTTTACTATAGTTTGGGGTTTAGCAAGGCTGTGCTCTTCTGAATGCGAAGAGGTCTGCAAAGAAGACCTCTTCTTTTGTTCACTCAAGCGGTATCCTTCACCCTGAGAAATCCTCCGCTTCTCTGGACTACAGGTAGTCCTCAACTTACAACAGTTAGTTTAGTGACTGTTCAAAGTTACAACGGCGCTGAAAAAAGTGACTTATGGACGTTTTTCATGTTGCAGCACGTGGTCACGCAATCAAAATTCAGATACTTGGCAACTGACTCATGTTACCCCGGATGGTCACTAAATGAACTACTGCAAGTCAAGGACTATCCTTACGTTTAGGCGACCTTCTAAACAAGCAAAGTCAACAGGGAAGCCAGATTCACTTAACAACCATGTGACTGACTCAACAACTGCAGCAATTCACTTAACAACTATGGTGAGAAAGGCCATAAATTGAGCAAAATTAACTTAGCATTGTCTTGTTTAGCAACAGAAATGTTGTGGAGAAAATACTGTTATATGATGATGATGATGATGATGATGATGATGATGATGATGATGATTATTATTATTATTATTATTATTATTATTATTATTATTATTATTAT